ATGCGGTACCAGCGAGTGGACCCACACTGTAAATCTGTAAACCTATGAAGAGCAATCTACATGGTGCAGAATATGGGGTGCGACGTACGGGGTGCACCCTATGAGGGATGAAAATGCGGTGCAACCTTCGGAATGCAAAACTTGGTGCAACTTATGGGATACGAGGTATGCGGTGAAGAGCAACGTATGGGGTACAATCTACCATATGCACTGGCTGAGTGATACAGTTAGGTTTTGAGTGGGTGAGTGGGTGGAATCCTGGGCATTATATGCTACATGTTCAAAGTGTGAATATACATACATGCATACACACATACACACATACATACATACATACATACATACATACATACATACATACATACATACATGCATGCATGCATGCATGCATGCATGCCTACCTACCTACCTACCTACCTACCTACCTACCTACCTACCTACCTACATACATACATACATACATACATACATAACTACACATATGTTTGTCTTACATGTGTGCGTGTAGTTGGCTGAACCCTTTATAGGTGCAACCAGGTGTGTGGAATCTCATGGGTGGAATCACCGATGTGTGCAGTTTCATGGGTGGTACCCTTAAGTCGGGCGTGCCCCCCTACAGGGGGGATTTTCGACGGACATCAAATTATCGAAAACTACTCCAAAATGGCCAAACATACTAAAACATAGTCCCCCGACTATGTTTTGACTATTTTTGAATTTCCCCCCTGTAGAGGGACAAGCCCGACTTAATGTTACCCTGTGTGTGGAACGCCACCCGTCGGAAATTGCGTGAACTACGAGCAGCCAAGGCCCGTCTACCCGAGCGGCCAGAAGCTGAGGCCTCCAACACGATGCGACTGCTTGTGGGACCTCGTGCATGGAACTTGAGCAGGGGCCGACCGTCCCGGCATTCCTACAGCCCTACCACGGCATGGTCTTAGAACCCAAACATGTTCTAAGAAAAAACAATGTTCTTAGAACAAAACCCCATGTGATAACACAAGACAATATCCGCCAGAACTGTTCTAATAACATTTCGTGGAAACCAAACAACTTGTCTTAGAACATTGTTTGGTAGGGCTATAGGCGAGCCAGGATGCTTCGCCACTGCTTGAGGAACCCGACGTGTAGAACCCCATGCGTCTGGAGTCCGATGCGAGCGGGCCCCATACATGCGCGGTGAGGATCCCAATGTGGAGCCCTCTATTCGGCGGTGGGCAAACGTCCCTTCAATGAACCACCTTTTCGTGAAAACGGCCTAAGACCGAAACCGACGGACCTGTACCCGCAAAAGTAACAGCTGTGACGCCCTCTCGCGAATCGAAAACGGCCAATTAACTACTCGACGTGTCAGGGTAGGAGGTCTATCAAACTCCGATATGTGCAACGTCGACCAACAATGATTCGCGAAATCGGGACACACCGAAAAAAGTGCGTCGGATCGGGCCGTCGCGCCAGGGATGCAGAGCGCCCCCCCCCAAGGCAACCGTCGGGCCGCACCGGAGCGGCGAAGCATCGGAACAGAACATCGCCGAAGCGGGCTGCTCGGAGAGCGGCAGGGGCTCCGAAATGTGGAACCCCGTGCGCGGAACGTGTCGAGCTCGAGGCGTGGACCTTGCACCCGGTGTGTGTGTGTGTGTGCATGCGTACGTACGTGAGTGCGTGCGTGCGTGCGTGCGTGCGTGCGTGCGTGCGCGCGTGTGTGTGTGTGTGTGTGTGCGTGTGTGTGTGTGTGTGTCGACCCCGCGACGCCCACTGGCTACGCATCTTCGCGCGGTTCGGTGTCCCTCCCCAACTGCCTTGCATTGCACTGCATTGCAGGGTCGCTCCCGCATCGTCCACGTGCATCCGCTTCGGCGAATTGTCTGCACGTGACTGCCCCCATCCAATCCACCGAACGCTACGCCAAATGATGATTCGCCTAAGTGCGATCCGGTTTAGCGCATGGCGTCGGTGTCGTCGTCCTTGCCGTCGCCGTCGTCGTCTTCTTCGTCGTCGTCGTCGCTGTCGTCGTCGTGGCTGTCGTCGTGGTCGTTGTCATCGTTGTCGTCGCTGTCGTCGTCGTCATCGTCATCGTCCTCGTCTTCAGCGTCCTCGTCGTCGTGGAGCCCCGTGGCGGCAACGGCCGAAATCCCAACGTGGCAAAGGCTAAAGCCCCGCGAACCGCCCACTCGCAACGGCTGCAACCACACGTCGGCCACAGCCAGGACACTGCAGGCTCGGGTGGCTCCCCAGAGCAGGAACAATAACTCCTGTACTAGAAGCATAAGCACCATAAGATATCTGGAATTACAAAAACGGAGAACCACCTAAACTATCATAAACTAAATCATAAGCAACATCCACTCCTTAATAACTCCGAATTCCGCGCGGACCTCGGAGAACATATGTCATTGTGTGTTGTTCTTCTTCGATTGATGCAAACGCGACTGTCGAGACATGGCCAAATAAGGTGGGTTAAGACAATGAGCCACTTCAAGGAAACCTCGATGCCCCATAGAGATGTTTTACAAACAAAAAACATACAAACATCATTCCAAGGTGGGAAGCCCAAAACGAACATCTGGGCACCCCTCTAGCACCAAACATGTTATGAACCATCGCGCCACCTGTGCTGTACACGTGATGCGCCGACATATCCGCGCCGGCTCCCGTGGACACCCGTGATGGCACACAGGAGAAACGCAGCTGCAAGCTGGGTGGAAGGAGACTCTGCCTTCAAGATGCACAGGCGTGTGCCTTAGTGGCAGGAGAGAGAGAGAGAGAGAGAGAGAAAGAAGGAAGGGGCCAAGGAGGGATAGGAACGAGGAGATGACGAAGGAGAGGAGGGGAGCGATAAGAGAAATAGGCCAGTGGGAATGGGAGATGGGCGATGAAAAGGGATGCGGGAACTGTCAGCTCCAACATGCCAATTACAGCGCCACGGACAGCCGACTACAAACGAGGAACAGGAAGGCTGGGCGGCCAGATACGTCCCTCGGGGAAGGGCCATGCAAGGCGGTAGCAAGGACAGGAAGCAGGAGGGAGGAGGAACGAGGTGGAGGGGCTGGGGGAGGGGGCGGGGGCCTCTGTCAGACCCAATATGGCAGCCCAGTACTTGTCAATTCTAGCGCCTTTCACTTCTTCATCGCCGCGTTGCTGTGACTATAACTATGTGAGTCGAATGCTATCCAAGAGACGTCACTGTTTTGTGGAAACTGACACCCTGATCGATACAGAGTCACTCATATACGATATCCAGAAATTTCAAGTCCGCTACCAAGTCGTGGGCACTGAAGGGATTGTCCTCATGCCCATTCAAGCTATCTGTCGAACAATGCGAACGTGATTGTACAAGGGCTCAGGGCCGGATTCCATGGCGCTCTCGGGGCGGCTCGCGTGAGGCTACTGCAGGCCTCAGGACCCTAATTCAGACTTCTAAGGCGGTCTGTTGTGGCTCCAGGGACCGTCCTGGAGCCCCCTGGGCGCTTCTTTGGCAGTCTTTTTTGTTTCGACCGGGATGAGAGCAGATTGCTCCGAACCCGTTGTTGACTACCTACCAGACGACCCCAACCCAACCCGAAGACCCGAATTTCGGGTTGGGGGGGGGGGGGGGGGTACGAGTACCATATGCGCTTTCTCGATGTTCCCGGTTCCCCCCACAGTGGAATGGAGGGCCAATTTAGGCCTTCGAGTTGTGTTGAGGTGGCTCGGTGGGTGGTGAGTTGTGACGTTCTCCCGATGCTGGCCAGTCGCACTAGCGGCGAGCAGCGCCTAGCGCTCCATCGTACCATCGGCAGGTGCATATCGACCTTGCCACCTACAGGTCTGGGGTATGCAACGATTTCCACGAAACTGGAGCTTCCAAGTAGAACACCGCAAGAGTGTCAAACTCTAGACAAGCGCGTTCCGCTTCTCGCAGGGCAACTACTCGCAAATAGCCTGGATCCGATGCGTGGGATTGCGATCAATTTCGTCGAGGGGAACATGTGTATGTGTGCGTGTGCGTGTGCGTCTGTGAGTGTGGTGTGTGTGTGTGTGTAAGAGTGCGTGCGTGCGTGCGTGCGTGCGTGTGTGTGTGTGTGTGTCTGTGTGTGTGGTTGTGTCCGGGCGTTGGCGAGTAGCCACTTTGCGAGGTGGTCGAACGTGATCGGTGATCCTCGGCCTGGCAGCATTGGCTGGCAACCCGCTGGCATTCGTTCAGACCATCTGGGCAATTTTTCTCGTGGGGTCTGGCTGGGTGTTCACAGCAGTGCCGAACAAGACAGGAAGCAACGAGCCTGCGCTGCTCATTCCACTACTCAACATGGTCGCATTACCCACCGTTAATCCCAAACTCCCCCTCTCCATCTTTCGCGATCACCCACCCCCATGCTGATGGCGTCCGAGTACATGACGTTCGAGGATTGTGCCGCATCCTCGATGTATCGCCGACGCATTGGCCATGCATTGGCGACGTCGGCGCTGCATCAACGACGCCGCAGGGGTGTACATCGGGCTCCAAATCGCGCCGCCTCACCGATGCATCGCCGAGGAATCGCCGATCCTGCAACCACATCTGCTGGAACCCACCCGTAGACGGCAGAGCAGCCCCCCCCAAAAAATAAGCACCCCGACGAGCGAAGCCGTTTAGCAAAGGCGCCCACGGAAGGAATCCAACAGGGCAGGGCTGTTTAGTAAACGCCCAGGTCCGTATATTTAGTCCCGAAACGGTGCGGTGACAGACCGTGCGGTGACCTCGGAACCCCAAGAGACCTCACCGCACGATCCGTCAACGCACGGTTTTGGGACCCTGGAGGCCCCTGCCGCCCGAGACGTCCTCGGAGAACGACCCGAGTCCCAAAACCGTGCGGTGACCCCGAACCCCCACCGACTCACCGCACGGTGTGGTCACGACCCCGTGTGGGGGCCCCCGAGTTCAGTGAGCGCCAGCTGTCGGGGCCCGGGTGGTTCTGCTCCTCCCCTGACGGGAGGAGGCCCGGGCGCGCGCGCGCCCGCCGCGGACTGCCGCCGCGGGGCGCCTGCTTCTCCATCTTCCGCACGGCGTCGCTGTTCTTCTGGATGTCCACCTCGTGGGAGGCGCTCTTCACCTCGGGAAGGGCGGCGGGTGCCGGGGCCGCCCGCCGGACGTCGACGGGCAGCAAGGCGCGCGGCGGCGTCGTTGGTGCTGGGAGCGGAGGCCGTGGAGAGAGAGGGCAGGCCGTGGCCTGCGAGATGAAAGCGGCGAATGCCACGCAGTCGGCCTCGTCGTCGTCGTCGTCGTCGCCGCCTTCGTCTTCTTAGTCGTCGTCGTCGTCGTCGTCGTCTTCGTCATCGTCATCGTCGTCGTCGGGAGGCGGGTAGGGGTAGGGAGAGAAGACCGACGGCGGAGGGGGGCGGGAAGGGCGAGGGGGAGGGGAGGGCGGTGGGAAGGCAAGAGGGGGAGGAAGGTGGGAGGGGAGGGCGATGGCAGCAGGGGGAGGAGGCAGAAGGGGGAGGCAGAAGTGGGAGGACAGACGGGGATGGGGCGCGCGGGGGGGGGAGGGGGGAACGGGGAGGCAGAAGGGGGAGGATGAGGGGGAGGCATGGACGGGAGAGGAGGCAGAGGGAGTGGTCAGGGAGGTGGGGGCGCTCTGAATCGAACGAAACCGCGCGAGCTCGCTCTGTCCTCTCGTCCTCTCCCCCGTGAAGGCAAGATCCGTGCCCTGGCGCTCCCTGCCTGGCCTGGCACGTCTGCCTCCTCCTTCGCCTCCCCATTGTCCTTCCTCTCCCTGCACGGCACCTCTGCATCCTCCTCCGCCCTCCTCGCCCCTGTTCTGCCCTCCTCCCTCCGCCCTCGACCTCCCCTCCCTTCCCGTGCCTCCCTCCCGCGCTCTTTCTCCTGCTCCTGCTCCTCCTCCTTCCTCCTGCCCCTCCTCCTTCCTCCTCCGTCGGCTTCTCCGTCGCCCTCCTCGCCTCCTCCGTCGCCCTCCTCGCCTCCTCCGTCGCCCTCCCACCTCCTCCTTCCTCCTTCCTCGCCCTCCGCGCTCCTCCCTCCGACTCCGTCGCCCTCCTCGCCCTCCTCGCCTCCTCCTTCCTCGCCTCCTCCTGCTCCTCCACTCCCAATTCCACCCCCCTGCGCCACCCCTCCACCCCTCCGCCATTCCTTCTTCCTCCCCTCCCTCTCCTCCCTCTCCTCCTTCTCCTCCTTTCGCTGATGCTGCTGCTTTTGACGCTAGGCACACGTGGATCAGCTGTCTTGTTCCTGCTCCGGAAGGATGAGGCCTGGCCAGAACACAGAGCTCGACGACCCCCACGAAGACGCCGGGTGGGATGGATCAGCCGTCCTGCTGCTGCTGCTGCTGCTGCTGCTGCTGCTGCTGCTGCTGCTGCTGCTGCCGCGGCCCCGGCACCCGCCCACCTGTGGAGCGGGTGGCCACCGGGGCCAGGCGTGTGAGAGAGTCCGCGCCGGCCGCGCGCCACCCCCGCCGCGCTCGGCCCCACTGCCGCCGCCGCCGCGTCCGGCCCACCTGCCGCCGCCGCCGCCAGCTGCTGCTGCTGCTGCTGCTGCTGCTGCTGCTGCTGCTGCTGCTCCTCGCCGCCAGCATGCAGTGCGCCACGGCAGCGGCGCGGCAGCCCAAGCGGAGGGGGCGGGGGCGGGTCGCCGTGAGCCCGTTCGCTTCCTCCCGGAGCTTCAGGAGGTCGCGCTTGTGCTCGCCCAGGCCGCCCTGCCCCGCCCCTCTCGCGGGGGGGGGGGGGGGGGGAGGGGAGGGGGGAGCGACCTGCAGTCGCTCGGACGTCCATTCCCCCTGCATTGTTCGGCTTTGTGCGCGCGTATTTGTTTGGCTCGATGGGCCAGGATGCTCCTCGAAGGTCCTCGCCGCGAAGTCCGGGAAACAAATGCACACGTCCGAGCAAGGCCAAGGCGAAGGGAGGTGGTGGGGGAGGAAGGGGAGGAGAGTGAGGGGGAGGGACAGACTCTACGATCTTAGCTGATCTAGGTTTGCCCAACGTCCAAAGGGGGGAGGGAAGAGGAATGGAAGGAGGGACGCGGAGGAAGTGGAGGGACAACAGGAGCGGGAGGGGGAGAGCGGGTACGATGAGTGGGGGGTGGGGGGAGAAACGAAGGCGAAGGAGTGTGTGAAGGGTAAGCAAGAGTGGTGGTGGGAGACGAAGAAGGAGGATGGATGGGGAATAGGACGCGAAGAATGAGCATAAGGAGGGGGAGGACGAATACGATGAGGGATGTGGATGAGGGGGACGAGGCGATCGAGCAGGAGGAACACGGGAGATGGAAGTAGGGAGGAGGCGAAGCGGCGAATCATCTCATCAGGATGAGGAGGGTGGATGTGGCGAAGACGATGAAGGACCGCGCGATCAAGATGTGCATAGGAGGATGTGGGGATGACGCAGGAGGAGCACGGTGAGGGAAGATGATGATGAGGAGGAGAATGACAAGGATGAGGCGTGGGAGAGGATGACGAGGGTGCGCATGATGTTGCGCTGCCTCTCGCCCAGATCGCCCCGCTCCTGGTTACCAGGAGAGGCCGCTGCTCGCCTGTATGGAGGTTCCTCGTTGATGGGCTTTGGCATTGGAACAGAAGGGACGGGACGGGAAGGCGGGTGAGGAGGCGGGGGATGATGATAATGATGATGATGATGATGCTGATGATGATGATGACGATGATGATGACGATGACGATGATGATGCTGATGATGATGGTGATGATGATGATGGTGATAATGATGATGATTACGATGATATTGCAGAGGAAGGAGGAATACGATGATGGAAGAGATGGGCAGACCATCCGTAAGTAGTTAAGGATGCGCAAGACATGTCCATCCATTGTTCTCGTCCCGATTCGTGTATAATCCTGTGCACCCTGGCCCCCATCCTATCCAACCAACATTCCTTTGGCGGCCTGTGTACGGCCATGCGTGTCCATCGTCTGTCGTGCCCTGCGCATCCATCATCGTCGTCCGCCCTATCCTCTTCCTCCCCCTCCTCCTTCGCATCAAACCTGCCGATGTCGTCGTCGTAGCAGCCGCCAGTCACCGTCATCGCCGTCGCCGTCGCAGTTGTCGGCGCCGTAGCAGCCGCCGTCGCCGCCGCCGCCGCCGCCGCCGATGTCGCCGCCGTTGTCGCCGACGTCGCAGTCGTCGTCGTCGTCGTCGCCGCCGCGGCCGACGTCGCCGCAATCGCCGCCGCCGTCGTCGTCGTGGTCGTCGTCGTCGTCGTCGCCTTCGTCGTCGCCTTCGTCGTCGTCGCCGCCGTCGTCGCCGTCGCCGTCGTAGTCGTCGCTGGTGCCGCCGCGCCGCCACCGTTGTTGCCGCTGTCGTCGCCGCCGACATCGCATCGCTCCTGCACGCCGCTCATGCGCAGGTCCAGCGCGCCCAGGCGGCGCGACGCCTCCGCGCTGCGCACCTCGGCCTGTCGGGTGTAGGGGGGAGAGCGAGGATGAGGAGGAGGGAAGGATGAGGGAGGGAGGGAGGGAGGGAGGGAGGGAGGGAGGGAGGGAAGGAGGGAGGGAGGGAGGGAGGGAGGAGGAGGAGGAGGAGGAGGGAGGAGGAGGAGGAGGAGGAGGAGGAGGAGGGGGAGGATGAGGAGAAGGAGGAGGAGGAGAGGGAGGAGGAGAAGGATCCGCCTCACCCCCCCCCGAGCGCGGGATGGGGGAGGTGCGAGGAGGAGGAGGAGGAGGAGCAAGATGAGGGAGGACGAAGAGGAGGGTGGAAGAGGAGAGAGGAGGAGGGATGGGGGAAGGGGGATGATGAACTCCTCCTCCTCCTCCTCCTCCTCCTGGACCTCCTGCTCCTCCTCCTCCTCGCCCCTTCCGTCCACACCCGTCTCCAGGTCGTCATGCCTGCTGCTCGACGGACGAGATCTTCTCGAACGCCTCCTGCTGCTTCTGCCGGACGTCGTTTTTGAGCCTCGCCTGCGGGCCAGACCGGGGGGCGGACAGGAGGGGGGGGGTACTCCAGTTGAGGGGGAGAGGAGGGGAGGAGGAGGAGGAGGAGGAGGAGGAGGAGGAGGAGGAGGAGCATGAGCATGAGCATGATAACAAGACGAAGTCTTAAACTAAAAGCCACCCACTGACCGCCTCCAGGTAGACGAGGGAATGGTACACGTACGCGGCGAAAAACATACCTATTGATTCAAGGTTCGGCTGAGGTGAAATCGGCTCGATGCGGCCCATACAATGATGTGTACAACGCGAGCCCAAGTCTCGATGCACAGCACTGGTCATCGGGCAACCCCTCAAAGGGATCGCCTCCTCCACAAACAGCCCCGCCATGCCAACCAGAATGCCGTACCCACGTACGAAACAAACTATTGAATTACACTGACGTGGAAGACTGCACGCCGAAATTAGTGTATGATGCCGACACTACAAACCACGAGCTTCACCATTATTGAATGCAGAAGGACAGCGCCACCAAACAACGGTGATTGGAACAACCCTTGCACCCTCAAGTTCCTCGACACGCAGAATACAGACAAGCCGGCACCCATACATCCAGCGATGCAGCACCATGGCAGCACGAGCACATTGACAAGGAAGCCTGTACGCCGAACTGTGTGTAGCTATGAAGCCAAACCGACTGAATACAAACATTGCCGCGATCTTCACCATTATTGCATGCAATGAAGCTGGCACCAAACATAAAGAGCGATGATGCCCATACCCCCAGCATCCTCAGGTCCCTCGAAGCGCGGCCCGACAGCTTGAAATAGTACGCTCGGGTGCGGGCGGGTGGGTAAATGCACAACCAGGCTCCCCCCATGGGCCCCGCACCCGAGACGGACAACGAGGAATGTGCACAGGAAAGCGGAGAAAAACTCCAAACCATCCAGTCCACGCCAGCCGATTCGCTTGAGAACCACTCACAAATGCAGTAGTACGGCACCTTGGCAGAACAAAATACAAAATTGAATGACGCCTGACTGCAAGACTTCGCCCCGCCCTTAGCCGATCCGCGCCTCAAGAAAGAAGACAAGAGGTGCGGATAGCCACAAGCACGCCGCGATGAGGCGGCGGGGCAGGGCCCATGACGCGCTCGAGCCAAAAGGATCTACGCGCCTTGGGCCCCATGTGCTTGAGGAGGAGGAGGAGGAGGAGGAGGAAGAGGAGGATGAGGATGAGGAGGAAGAGGAAGAGGCGGAGGAGGATCGCATAGTTGTCAATGATGCTGCTATGCAACCAGCCCGATGACATGTGGAGGAAAACGGCGAGGGGTGGAGGGGAGGGGAGCAAATAGGAGGGGGAAAGAAGGAGGGGGAGATAGGGCATGGGGGGACTGCGAGGAGAGCGGGGAGGAGGAGTAGGAATACGAGGGGGCGGAATGCGAAAGCATGGGAAGTAGGGACGCGACAGAGGAGGGTAAGGGGAAGGGAGGAGGAGATGAGAGAACAGAGGGAGAGTCCTGGAATGGGAAGGCCCAGGGCCAGTATTTACACAGGCAGGGGGGAGGCTGGAGAGGGGAAGAGGAGGAGGGGGAGAAGGAGCAGGAGGAACGAAGGAGAGGAACAGGACAAGGAGGGGGGAGGACGGGAGCAATGAGGGGAGGGGCAAAGAGGAGGACCAGCGCGTCACCATGGAGGCCCTGCCTGCGGGTGCCACTACTTACCTCCCCCATGCCGTTGGGTCCCATCGCGGGGGTCGAGCGGGAGGAGAAGCGCGACGACGACGACGAACGGCAAGAGGGGCAAACAGCCCAGGCATGGGATGTGTTGGTTTCTCAATACGGACTCCCGAAGTCCCGACCCTTGCACCGCAAGGCAGCTGCTGCGTCCCAGAAAGCTGCTCGACGGCCCCGTGGCCATCGCTTCCAAGACAATACTTTTCAAAGCCTCTGCCATCGCTTCCAAGACAATCGCTGTGAGAGCCTCTGTCGTCGCTTCCAAGACAATTCTTTTCAAAGCCTTGTGGAGTCCCAAACCCGGGTAGCAGGGCGCTGGAAGGGCGTGACAAGGCGTGTCGAAGAAGCCTGGAAGCTCCTGGAGAAAGCTCCCGAAAGACCTTCTGGATAGCTTCTGGGCAAATGTATTGGGAACGCTTAGATGAGAGCCTCTGCCATTGTCTCCAAGACAATGTGTTTCCAACATGTTGGATGCCTTGGAAGAGGGGAGGCGCTCACTTACACCGGCGCGAGGTTAAACTCAGGGCCCAAGACTTCTGCTCTCCGGTTCGAGCCTCGAGAGGCTGCCCCTGGACATGTCGTCGTGGAGTTCGCTCCGACCAGAGTTTGTCGAGGCGAACGTCGCCCTGGCGACGATGAGGCTCGAGACCGTTTCCTCCGGCGGCGAGGCAGAGCTGGCTGCACCAGCAAAAGAGCTGGACGGGGGCGCCGAACAGCGACTTGGCCAGCGTGCAGGGAGGGAAAACGGGGAGGCAAGGCGGAGGAAGCTCGAGACACGCGATCTGCATCCGAGTTCCTCCATTCCCGAGTCTCGATCCGCCTCCACCCCCCCCCCCCACCGCCGGCCAAAAAGGGCCTCGGAGTCCGCCAGGCTATGCACGCGGGCGCCATGCAGACGTCGGGGCGTCAACGTTTGTCGGAATCCTCGGGGTCGGATCGGACTGGGCGAGACGGAGATCGCATCGGACCCAAATTTGGCGGCTTCCAGGATGGGGCCCTAAGGGATGGGGCCCTGAGGGATGGGGCCCTGAGGGCCGAGGAGTCTCGAGACCGTACTCCAGATTTCGTAATAAAAAGGAGGGGGTCTGGACCCTCCAAGACAAGCCATTTCAGACCTCCCCCGTGGGAGAACCCTCCAAAACATCGTCCCCAGACCCCCCCAAGGCTCTACAAGATAGCCTGGAAGAGACCCCCCCCGAAATGAGACCCCCCTCCCTTTATTACGAAATCTGGAGTAAATCCAGCCTGGGATCCCTCCCTATCCTCGGGGCCTCAGCCCTCGGGGCCCCATCCTTGCACCGCTGAGGATCGGTGAGGCCTCAGACTCCAAGTCGGGGGACTGGGGCTGGCCAGAGAGGGCCGCCGGGAAAGCGACGAGAGACGCAATCTGAAATTTGTCGCGAGCTCCCGCTGCAAACATTCCACGCACACCAGACCGTCAAAATCCGAGACTAGAGGCCTCCTAGATGGGGTCGGACTAGATGGGGTCGGAGGATCGCGCCGCATCGAGGGTACATCGCCGATACATCGGCGATGCATCGGCGATGCACTGGCGATGCATCGTCGACATCGCCGATGCATCGGCGACGCCATCGTGGAGAAAATCGGGCTCCACATCGAGCCGTATCGGCGATGCATCGGCGATGCGGCGCGATCCTCCGACCCCATCTACTCCGACCCCATCTAGGAGGCCTAGCGAGACGGGCCCGTCGAAACGCGTCGGCAAGCCCGAGCTCCTGCGAGCTCGAGGCTCGCCCTTCGCCGAGAGACGACGGGCCCTGCGGCGGCGCCCCTGCGGGCTGCCCGGCTGCGCCGACGACGACGTGACGACGTGACGACGACGACGACGACGACGACGACGACGACGACGACGACGACGACGCCGCTCCGTTTTGCTCGATGCATGGGCCCCTGGAAGTCCGACCAGTGTCCGAAGGCCTGCTCTTCGTCCTGAGCCGCTCTGGACGGCCCCGGGGCCCGCTGGAGCCCCCCGGGAGCCGAATTCCGGACCCGAGCTGGCCGCTCCAGCTTGGCCGGGGCCTCCGATCTCCGGGGGAGGAAGGTGCACCGAGGGCGGGGTGGAGGACGAGGACGAGGACGACGACGAGGGCAGCGAGGACCAGGGCGACGACGACGACGAGGACGACGACGACGAGGACGACGAGGACGACGACGACGAGGACGACGACGACGACGACGACGACGACGACGACGACGACGACGACGCACCGCCGCGCTCCTGGCGGGCGGCGCACGCGCTCGGGGGCGGCGGGCGCGGGCGCAGGCCGAGGCGGCCGGCCAGCACGCGGCGCAGGGGGGGGGGCACGCGGGGGCCAGGGGCAGGCCTGCGGAGGAAGGTGCTCCTCCTCCTCCTCCTCCTCCTCCTCCTCCTCCTCCTCCCCCTCCCTCCTCCTCCTCCTCCTCCTCCTCCTCCTCCTCCTCCTCCTCCTCCTGAGTGACTTCCCCAATGGGACGCACAGAGACACTGATACTATATTAGGGGGCAAACAAACCTACCTCGCTTTTGACCACCCTCGCCTCCAAGAGATGCCAAGCGATGCCAAGCTGCGGCCTGTGCTGGTCAGGCCGCTTGACGAGGAGGCGCGTGGTATGACTTGGTGTTGCCTGGAAGCGAAAGCGGGGTAGGTACTTGACGCTTTGAAACACGCGGCGCAGGGGGGCACACGAGGGCCAGAGTCAGGCCTGCAGAATTAGGATGAATGACTTCCCCATGGGACGCACAGAGACACACTGATACTGTATGTCCTCCTTGGAGGCGCGCGTCCGACCCGAACACCCGTCTTATGGTATATCCTTTCCCGAGCGGCGTGGCCGGAAAGCGCCCGCCACGACGCATATACGATATAAGATTTCTCGGTGCGGGCGTCGCCTCGGGGGGGGCGACGGACAGATAGCATAAGTGTGTTGGGGTGACGCCAAAATTCCCATAGGTTACCCCTGCATCCTTCCCCGTCGGCCCATCCTTGGCCGCTTTCGCCAGCCGCGCCCCGCTCGCACAGCGTCGACCTGGCCTTCCCGGGCCCCTGCTGCATCCTCATCGGGCATCCCTGTGCTGCGGGCTTGACTGTCTGTGTCCTTCTGGGTGGCCCTGGGTGGCGTGCGCCCAACCCGAGCGCACAGCAGGCTCACCGTGTAGTCCTGTGAGGCAGTCATTCAAACAAACGGGGGCGGGACGATCTCAAACAAAGTGTCGCCGGCCTGGGTGCTCGGCCCACGGAGGGGCGACAGTTCGGGTTGGCCCCCGGGCCGTCTGGAGGGCAAGGGGGTGCCCGAGGGCTGACAATTCGGAGCGAGGGGTTGGCGATCCAGACCAGTGAAAGGCCCCCTCTTCTTCCTCTTCCTCCAATTCCTCATCCTCCTCATTGCAATACGGAGTTTCCAAGGATCCAAAAGAGTCCTCGAAACTGCGCCGCGGGTGCGGGAGGGGTCGACACTACGAAATCTGCTTCAAAGCGACTCCAACAAAAAACGCTGCGGGGGGGGCGAGTTGAAACACAGTTTTCGGCGCGCTAGCGCGAGCCCAGGGGCGTAGCGGGGGGGGCGATCAACATCGCCCGCCACCGAGCAAATACTACAAGATTTCTGGGCGCTAGCGTCGCCCCTTCGGGGGCGCCAGAGACATCGTATTAGCATCTTCGGGTGACGCCGAGAATAGACAACCACATGCCACGTGTGGAAACCCCACCCGCAGGATCTGTCAGCATCGAATCGGGAAATCGCATCGAAGCGGAACGCGTGTCGGATCGGGCCGCATCGGCACGGAGTCGAAATCGAATTGGATCGGCTGCACCAGGATGCACAACATCGCCATTCAAGCATTGGGCCGCATCGAATCACATTAAGAACGAGACCGAACAGTATCGGACTGGTCGACGACGACACCTACTCGGACCCATCGGATCGAGATGGGCCCTGACCCGCAGGCCAAACTGCTGCAAGGTCAACCATGGTTCAGAATCCGAAGGATGTTCTGCAACCGAGTGAACCCCCGCGGGGGTGACCGACGGTGACCGATACCCCAGGATTAGACCCACACCCATCTTTCGGAATATTCAGATCGAAGCATGAAGCAGGAAAGCGGAGAAGACTCGAAGGGAGAAGGACCTCCAGGGAGATTGACGAACAAAACAAAAGAGGAAAGAAGATCCAGTAGATTTGCGGACAACTCCTGGGAGGCCCAGGGGATTGGGAGAAGAGGGGACCCAGACTGGAAGAAAGACTGAGCGCGGGCCATGCACTCTCCGGGGAGACGCCCTCTCCTCGGCCACAGACCTCCCCCCCCCCCCCCCCTCGACTGTGGTCCTCAGCCCCCCTCCCGGCTTGGAGGCGGCCGGAGGGCCTGAGCTGGGCGGGCCCCGAGACAAGAGGAAAGCAGATCCTCTCAACATCTGGCCAGGATTA